TAAACTTTTTTGTTTTTTCAAATTCCTTCTCTTTTTCTGCTTTTCGTTTTCTATATTTTGACCCAGATGGTTTTCTTTTGAAAGTATCAACGTGTTCAGACATTTTGTACTAATCAAATCTGCAACAAATTAAATCTGCGTAAGTCCGATCATTCCTATAAATTAATTAAATATAACGCTATTGAGTGAGGACGACCAAAAACGCTTTATATTCAGGAAAGCGTTAGCATATACGTGAACTACGATCGAAAAATCTAGGTAAGGTAATATTGTCATGGCAGCGGAATAATTGTGAAATGTTATATTTAAAAGCTTGTGTTACGTGATAGTGCTTAGATTTGTATGAAAAAATCACGATCATCCACTCGTTCCCGAACAAATGACTTCTATGTACAGTCAGATGCAAAAGTCGGTGGACACTTTTCACCTTTAACACAAAGGCTTACGAATGAACAGTGTTCATCCACTTTTACACTTGACCGTACCTCCTCGACATTCATTTATTATCTCCGTGTTAAAATTTCATCAACATTATATAGTCAGTTCCAGAGATATTTTATAATATATAATTTACTTTAAATAGAAATTATCCAAACATAACATAAACAAACAAACAAATGTTACCTCTTTAGTATAATGAGTAAAGATAGTTAAAATAAAATTGTACTTACCTAATTAGTGAAATAATCCGTCATAAAGCAAATACCTACTTAAACACTATTTGTATTTCAACTTTTTGGATAAAACCTATGTCACTCTGTAGTCGGCGACAAAAAGTAAAAAACATGCACTTCGTAACTTAGCGTGGACCGCCTGATAACTGCGTCTGTTTGTTTTAAAATATGTAATTGCGATAACTGTTTTTAAGTGCGTGCACCGATTGAATGAATAAGAATGAGCTGTGTTCCGCTCCATCAAAAATAACGCCAACTCTTTTGAACTAAAATGTTAAAAAGAGATAGATAATGTGTTTCTCTGTGGTCGGGGATTCCCAGTAAAATGAACTGTATGTATGTAGTGCTCCGACCGAACGGATTGAGCACTGCGTTCCATTCTAGTGTTGCCAACACATCGTTTTTTTTTTCGCTTACAGAGATGGGAATATAAAGGGGCGCCGCTTAACGGCGCCCCTTAAAGTCCGGCGCCCCTGGGCGGTCGCCCAACCGCGCCCTACCCTAACGTCGGTACTGCTTCTTCGGCAACAAATGCATTAGTGTCCTTTGTTTGTGATTTACCTTTTTCATTTAGAAGGCGATGAAAACATGTGTCTATCTTATGACCTCGCTTGTGACAGTAGTTACAAGTAATTTGATGTTGTTGGTTACTCGGGCACTGTCTTGCAAAATGTTCCATTTTGTTACAACGAAAACATCTTTTATGTTGTGAAGTAAATGCCTTTGCTGCTAGTGCCTCAGCGTTTTCTGAGTTTACATTTAAACGGGATTCCTCAATATATAATCGAGCAGAAAGCTCGTCGAAAGTTTGCGATGCTTCTGGGACTGATTCCCACGCAGAAATAAAATGTTTGTACTCTTGAGGTAAACTCATAAGGATGTTCGTTATTACCATGTTGTCTGAGAGCTTTTCATCTTGAGCATTTAGTTTAGAGCGAAGTTCTTCTATTTTACTTAAAAAGGTTGTAATGTTAGTTTCATAAGAGACACTGTAGAATTGTTGATGTAATAGATGTTTACTCACACTGGATTCTTGTTCATAGATGGTTTTTAATTTTTGCCAAATTTGATTTGCTGTCTCACATGTAGTTAAGTTTGACATAACAATCTCCTCCATTCTCGAAATGAGTATTCCTTGTATTTTAGCATCTAATTCAATCTCTTTTTCTTTTGGCGGACTTGACTAGAGATGTATTCCGCCCTTGGATTATATGATAACCATTATTTGGAATTTCCATACACCCCAATTCTCGGCTCCACGTAATTTGATACCTCCATTACATGTATTTCGCTCCATCCTTTCTTCCATAATTTATATATAAAGCCTATAATTGCTTCGCTGTGCCAATACAAACAAAATTACGACCGACGCTACAAAATGGCCACCCGGGCTAGCCGGTAACTTGTTGCGTCGTATGTTAAAAAAAAACCTCAACCTCCGAATTTTACTTCACCTGCAACTCAGTTAGGGAGCTGGATCCCATAACCTGATGTTCGGAGCAGGTTATTGAAGTAAAAACAACAGGAGTATATCTATAATGTATGTATTTTATGAAGACTTACAGAGCGCGTCCGGCATGATCGGCGCATGCGAAAAAGGGGGGCGAGAAAGAGATATATATCTATTACTTGTGCTCATTCGCATTTCATTACACACAACATTTGGTTACAAAAGCTGTACAAATATCAGTCGAAAATAATTAATGAGATAACAAGATAAACTTCTCAAAAATTAAAACTTACATCTAAAAATATTTATGAAAATGGAACATTCTTAAACTTGAAATATTTAACTAAAAATCCCAAGCGGTCAGTTCAGGATCGGAATATATTTCACGGCGGGTACTAATTTTTGGAGATGTATTGATGTCCCTAAAAAAATTTTAGGGACATCAATACATCTCCAAATATATCCTGCCAATCGTATTGAATTTCCTCGACGAGTTTAGGCCACGTCTAGGATTTTAGCGACTTCTTCATTGAAGAGATATATGGCCCTTCTTTAGTTATTTTTGTAATTTTACCAGGAAACAATTCCCCCTCATATGTGAAAACTGCATATTGCCCAACCGCCTTCACAATTGGGTTGAAATTGCAATTTTTATTGAAAGTTTCGGTTGTTGTATCAGTGTTAGTTACAAGATTTTCTAAATCTCCAAGAGAAGATCGGAAGAATCATGAACTGACATGTTAACACTTTCTGCGTAAGAGTTTTCGCTAATGGCTCTACGGCGACATGGTTGCTTTGAAAATGACGGCTGAGCCAACTCTTCATTTTCTTTATCATCCAAAAGTGTGCTTAATTCTTCAGTTACACTTTTTCCAGGAGTAATGTTTAATTTTCTGCGACGTCCTTTTGTATTAATTAAGTAATTTGTCGTCCATTCTAGCCTCTTAGCTTCAAGACTGTAGAAAAGAATCTTGCAAAGCAGTCTTGTTAACAGTTGTAGGCAACCTCTCTTATAATGGATTAGCATCAAGTGGACAAATTCCACATTTTCGTAAACCTGAAACGAGGTTTACCTCCCGCGTTGGCTCCAAAATATCGGTGAGTCGGTTTAACAGAACTGGGAAACTGCTTTTTTGGAGTACTTGCTCTCGACTACCTTGTACACTTGCCTTCCCCTCGGTCAGGATTTTTCGCCATGCTACCTTCATTGGGTGGAAAAAGCCACATCCAATGGCTGCGTTAGGTCAGTGTTGTTAGGTGGCAAACAAACAAATTTAATATGATTTTTATTACAAGCATTTAGGACGTCTACAGAAATGTGAGATGACAAATTTTCTCCGATTATAACTTTCGGACCCTCTTGTTTCGTCAAGACTGGCAAAATTTGTGTAAAAAAACAATCGTTAAATATATTCATATCAAACCACCCTATTTATTATATTATATTTGGCATCTTTTGGGCCTTGTTCTGTCCATGTACATGGAGTACGAGTACATGGACGGAACAAGGCCCAAAAGATTGTTGATTTATAAGAAGTTGCTTGGATTTATATACAACATACGGCGGTAATAATTCTCCCTTAGCATAGTTTCCTTGTCAATGGCTGCTCTGCTGCGTTTAATGTTAGTCGCAAATCGTAGTGATAAACATGGATGTCTTTTTAAGAAACTTGACACCCATTCAGTACCTGGAATCCTTAAATTTTGAAACTCTCCGACCAATTTTCTCCAAATATGTTCTAATAACGATGCGAAGATCAAAAACTGTAAGAGGAAAGCCGTACTCGCTCAACCTTAAAATGCAGTCTACAAACAAGGCTTCTTCTTCACTTAAAAATGTTGTTGTAGCGCCTGGAGGTCTAGATGCCATTTTAGATCGTTGGAGTCTTATCTGATTAATAATGGTTCTGCGTGGGATGCCATACTTTTCACTGGCTTTTCTTTGTGTTAATTATTTATTATGGAAGCCAAATATTGTCTTAGAGTTTCGGAGCTGTAATTTTTATAATTTCTCGACCCTACACGTTTTTTATAATTTCTTGGCATCTTTTTTGAAACTAAATAACAATTTCCTTGATGAAAGGTGTATTAAAAACCACTTACAATAAATAAAAAATGTTTACTTTTGAGCGACTTATGTTTGGGTTTACTTTGCTCCAGGCAAACGCATAGTTACCCCATCGTACCAAAGAAAATATGAGCACGCCAAAAATGCGAGGTTAGATTATAACCAACTCAACAATCCAATGAAATATTTACGTATTCGTTTACCTGATTATATATATAATAACATTAAAACATAATTACCTTAATGCACTATGCAGATTTCAAGATGGAAGTAGCTTTTTCGGATACAAAAAAATATAACTTTTAAGGTCTTGCACTTCAGCCGCACCTGACTGACAAAAAAAATGGATGAAAAATGTTGCCACTTAAAAGTAAGATGTTTTGGGTGCGTTCGCAGTTAAATGATATGTTGCACCGATTTGGACGATTATTATTTGTACTTTCCTCTAGAATAATCTCCATTAAATATTTTTCTAAGTATTCAGGTTGTTCCATGTAAATGTTTTCATTTAAAGTTCCTTTCAAATAAGCAGTAGTCACATCAAGTTGATTTAATCTTAAGTTTTCCTGAACCGCCAGAGCTAGGAGTAATCTAATTGAACTCAGTTTGGCCACAGGAGAAAAAGTTTCACTATAATCAATGCCTTGTCTCTGGCTTAACCCTCTGGCGACTAGCCGTGCTTTCTTTGTTTCTTTATTCTCAGGATCAATTTTTGTTTTTAAAACCGTTTTGTAATCAATCACATTATTACTATTCTTTCTTTCCAATATCTTCCATGTGCCATTTTTAATATGAGCTTTTACTTCAGATTTTGCTGCCTCGTGCCAGCCATCATCTGTACTATCATCATGTTCACACAGGTAAGTAGATTCATATTCATTAATTGTTTCATTTAGTTCACATAGATTAGTAGATTCAGACTCATTACTTACTTCATTTAGTTCATAGTCTTTCGTCCATGTAGGTAGCTTTTTGATACGAGTCGGTCTATTGGACGAACCGATGTGAGTGTCATCTTCATTTATTTGCCTTGGTTCACATGGTAATGTTTTTTCATTTAACCCAGTTTCTATATTTATTTCATGTATAATTTCTTCCCCTTGCAAGTCATTACAACTTGTTTCAGCAGATTTATAGTCATTATTATTATCTCCATCTTCTGGGAGGATATTGGAAGAAGGACAAATGGATGCAGGAGCCTGAAAATGAGAATGGTGCTGAGAAGAAAAGGGATAAGGTAAGTCATCCATTGTATTATTTGTATTTTTTAATAATATATCTATTATCCTTTTATTTTCATTTTCGAGCATAGAGTTTTCTTCTTCAAAACACATTCTATCTAAAACTTTTATATTTCTTGTTATTTCTATTTTTCTGTATTTCGGTACCCATATTCTCTATGCTTTCGATGTATCAGAGTAATCCATAAAAATGCCTTCAATTGCCCTGGATGTAAACTTCCCTTTATGTTTCTCATTGTTTAATATAAACGTTTTTGCACCAAAAACATGAAGATGTCTAGCCGAAGGAATACGACCAACCCGTTTTTTGGATGGTGTCTCTCCGTTTAGAGATTTAATTGGTATTCTATTCGCTAAATAATTAGCAGTGACAATGGCTTCGGCCCAATACATATCTGATAAATTTGCATCGATCAACAGGCATTTCGCCATATCCAATAAAACTTTATTTTTTCTCTCTCTCTGCGATGCGATTCTGCTGCGGGTTGTATAGCGCAGACAGACATCTTTGTATTCCACAGTCTTTCAGGTATGTATCAAAATCTTTATTACAGTATTCGGCGACACCATCGTCCGTTTGCAATAATTTTATTTGTTTATTACAAAATTTTCACTTCCTTATTTAATTTTTTTTTTTAAATATTTGAGGATTTCGTTTTTTTGGAACATGAAGTATACCCTTGTGTATCGGGTGTAATCGTCGATGAATGTTACAAAATAACGTGATCCACCAGGCGACTTTGTTCGAAACGGCCCACATACATCTGAATGGACAATTTCTAAATGTTCACTGCTGCGTTTATTTGTTACTGAAGGAAATGGTGGCCTGGAAAATTATCCTTTTATGCATGTTTCACAATTTTAAAGCTTGAAGTCACAATTGAATGTTAGACCATGTAACAGCTCATTTTCTTTACATAATTTTAAGTCAGCTTCATTTATATTGCCTAATTTTTTGTGCCATAAATACATTTCATTTAAATTCACATTTTTTGATAATTCTTTATTAACAGTAATTAAACAGATGGATATTTCTTATCCTTTACTATGTATAAATAATTTTTCCTTTATGCTATTATAATAATTTTTCCTTTGGGATCCGTTACTAGGGCCTTATTTTTCATAAAAGTTACTTTGGACACAGAAAGTAAGTTACTCTGTAGATTCGGTACGGGCAGTGTGTTTGTAAGTGTAATGTCACTATTATTTTTTAATTTTATATTAACAGTACCTTTTCCGGTAACAGGAGCAGTCTGGTCAGCACATGCAAGCTGGAGTGAAGTATTCTCGCAGCTATCAATCTAGTGAAACTTTTCCCTGCTGGAACACATGTGCGAAGTCGAACCACTGTCCGGTCACAACTGTTTGTAGACAAAGAAATATCACTTTTTATTAAATATGTTTGTGACTTTACTTGTTATTTTATTTTTTCTGCAGTGTGATGTAGAATGTCCATGCTTGTTCCAATTTTTACAGTAATATTTTGACTTTTATTTGCTTTTTGTGTAAAATGCTTCTTTATTTGATGTATTTGTTTTATTTCGTGCCTCGTATTCTTCTATTATTTTTAAATCATCCGGTTTTGGCAAGTTATCCCTCGACTCTATTGCAATTCGAAAATTTTCAAAGGATGGACAGAGACTGTAAACCATCATTATACTCAATAACTTTTCATTTATTTCTATGTCCACCTCCTTTAATTTATACACAGTGTCGATGAATTTATTCAAGTGATTTCGTATGTCATCACTGTCGATCATTTTGGTGAGTATCAATTGATTTAACAAAGTAGCTTTTCGAGCGGGACCTTTGCTCATATAAATATTTTCCACTTTATCCCACACATCTTTGGATGTGGTGCAGTTTTTAATCTGCTTGAATTCGGACGGAGCGATGATGAGCATTAAATCGGCGCGGGCGCTCAAGCCGTTTTTACGCTATTCCCTACATTATAGGTCATCTTCGGGTTTGGTTTTTCCCGATTACATGTTCCCATAATTCGTTTTTTATTAATATAGATTGAGCGTGTAATTTCCAAGTATCGTAGTTATCAAGACAAAGAGGCTCAATTTTATAGGACGCCATTTTCTAATTGATTTTTTTATTTGGAAAAATATGTTATTAGCTGGGCACATTACCTATTCGATCTTATTACAGCAAAGCGCAATAAATAAACTATTTGATTGTAAACTGTGTTTAATTATATATATATATATATATATATATATATATATATATATATATATATATATATATATATATATATATATATATATATATATATATATATTCTGAGCATAAAAGAAGAGTTAATGATGTTCAAGCTTTAAAAAGTTATAATAAATTTCACACATCATTTATTCGGAAGTTTTTATTATTTTTGGGACCATATTTATATAAAAAGGCAAATAAGGAATTATCTATATATTCAAAAACTAAACATATATGCAAAAGAATTGTTAGTAATTGGCTATTAAGTAAGACATATGATGAAACTGAGGATTTGTTATTAGTAGTATGTTAGGTTATGACTGCCATTTTAAAATAACTCATCCATTCCATACATTCACAAATTACACAGTCAAGATTTCATTTACAAAATATTATTTTGGGCAAATTAAATTATTACCGTATTAGTACCTTAACTTGTATTGTTTCTTTGTTTGTATAATTTTGTGTCATTGTGCCATATAGGGAAGAGCACTGCTTATCCTAAAGTACAGGATTTACCTATTTAGGGAGCAGAGTTTTACCTATATTTAAAATGTAACATTTATTTTTGAAATAAATTATTATTTTTTAAATTTCACTAAAATTCTCATCTCCCCTCTTAAGGAGAGGAGATGGCAACTAACCCCCGGCAGAAGCACAGTCGGCCGGGGTTCAGGGCCCCAGGGAGAGAAACCGGCGTACAATGCGGGCAGAATCTAAGAGCACCGCTTTCTGCATCTTTCCCGGGAGTGAGCCGCCTCGGAATCCCAACCGTCTGAGATGTTGTTCCAGACTGGTTGGGATAAGACCGTTCACCGACATAACGATTGGGATGATTTCGGTAGATGTCACCCCCACATTTCGGTCACCTCGTGAGCCAGGTCGAGATATTTTCTCTTCTTCTCAGTTTCGGCTTTCACGAGTTTCTCGTCATGCGGTATGGTGACATCCACCAAAAACACCCTCGAGAGTGCCCGATCCATCACCACGATATCAGGTTTGTTCGCAAGAACGGTTCTGTCCGTGATGATGGATCGGTCCCAGTAGAGCCTTACGCTGTCGCTTTCGAGGACCGGCTGGGGCTCGTACTTATAGTACGGCAACCTCTCATTCGCGAGGCCGTACTTCAGAGCTAGCTCTTGATGGAGTATTTTGGCTACCTGGTTGTGTCTGTGCAAGTACTCAGTGTTGGCAAGAGCTGAACAACCCGAAAGCACATGTCTGAGTGACTCTCCGGGATGGCGACATGCCCGACAGATGTCCTCAGTGCCATCCTTCAGAATGTGCTTTCGGTAATTGTTCGTCTTAACCACCTGATCCTGTATTGCACAGACAAAACCCTCGGTCTCTCCGAAGAGATCACCGAACTGTAGCCAGTGCACGGAGGTCTTCGTGTTTACGTACGGCCCGTGAAGGGCTTTGAAGAACCTTCCGTGCAACTCCTTCTTTTTCCATACGGCCTCCCGCTGAGAGGTACCCAAAACTTCGGGTTTTCGCCAGTCCTCTTTAGCCAGAGAAAGAGGGGTGAATCCTTTGTCACATTCTATGACCTCTCTATGCAAACCCTCGTCTATTTTCTCCAGAAAATATGTCCTGAGGCTGTCAACCTCGCGGTTGTGCATGGTCTTAACACTTAACAAGCCTCGACCACCAGCCTTCCGCGGGATATACAGCCTCATGACTGACGATTTCGGGTGATGCATTCTATGGAGGGTCATAGTTGTGCGGACTTTCCGATCCAGGGCTTCGAGATCGGTTTGAGACCATCTGAGCACGCCAAAAGTGTAAAGGAGTACGGGTATGACCCAGCCGTTATAAGCTCGGATTTAAATAATAATAATAATAATAAATTATTATTATTATTATTATTATTTTTAAATTTTACCAAAATTCTCATCTCCCCTCTTAAGGAGAGGAGATGGCAACTAACCCCCGGCAGAAGCACAGTCGGCCGGGGTTCAGGGCCCCAGGGAGAGAAACCGGCGTACAATGCGGGCAGAATCTAAGAGCACCGCTTTCTGCATCTTTCCCGGGAGTGAGCCGCCCCGGAATCCCAACCGTCTGAGATGTTGTTCCAGACTGGTTGGGATAAGACCGTTCACCGACATAACGATTGGGATGATTTCGGTAGATGTCACCCCCCACATTTCGGTCACCTCGTGAGCCAGGTCGAGATATTTTCTCTTCTTCTCGGTTTCGGCTTTCACGAGGTTCTCGTCATGCGGTATGGTGACATCCACCAAAAACACCCTCGAAAGGGCCCGGTCCATCACCACGATATCAGGTTTGTTCGCAAGAACAGTCCTGTCCGTGATGATGGATCGGTCCCAGTAGAGCCTGACGCTGTCGCTTTCGAGGACCGGCTGTGGCTCGTACTTATAGTACGGCAACCTCTCATTCGCGAGGCCGTACTTCAGAGCTAGCTCTTGATGGAGTATTTTGGCTACCTGGTTGTGCCTGTGCAAGTACTCTGTGTTGGCAAGAGCTGAACAACCCGAAAGCACATGTCTGAGTGACTCTCCAGGATGGCGACATGCTCGACAGATGTCCTCAGTGCCATCCTTCAGAATGTGCTTTCGGTAATTGTTCGTCTTAACCACCTGATCCTGTATTGCACAGACAAAACCCTCGGTCTCTCCGAAGAGATCACCGAACTGTAGCCAGTGCACGGAGGTCTTCGTGTTTACGTACGGCCCGTGAAGGGCTTTGAAGAACCTTCCGTGCAACTCCTTCTCTTTCCATACGGCCTCCCGCTGAGAGGTACTCAAAACTTCGGGTTTTCGCCAGTCCTCTTTAGCCAGAGAAAGAGGTGTGAATCCTTTGTCACATTCTATGACCTCTCTATGCAAACCCTCGTCTCTTTTCTCCAGAAAATATGTCCTGAGGCTGTCAATCTCGCGGTTGTGCATGGTCTTAACGCTTAACAAGCCTCGACCACCAGCTTTCCGCGGGATATACAGCCTCATGACTGACGATTTCGGGTGATGCATTCTATGGAGGGTCATAGTTGTGCGGACTTTCCGATCCAGGGCTTCGAGTTCGGTTTGAGACCATCTGAGCATGCCAAAAGTGTAAAGGAGTACGGGTATGACCCAGCCGTTATAAGCTCGGATTTTATTGGCGCCCGACAAAGAACTTTTCAGTACTCTTGTAAGGCGCGCAAAAAATTCCTCGCGGACTGACTGTTTCATATCCGTCTCCTTCACACCGATGTTTTGTGACATGCCCAGATACCGGTATGTTTCAGCCTCGGAGAGGGTTTTAATATTAGAGGGATCTGTGGCGATCCCTTCAGTTTGAGTGACCCGTCCCCTCTGCACATGGAGGACCGCGCACTTGTCTATTCCGAGCGCCATTCTAATAGAGCTGCTATAATCGTTTACGATATTTAGCAGCTCCGTCAGGCGTTCGACGCTCGGAGCTAGCAGTTTCAAGTCATCCATGTACAGAAGGTGAGACACTCGTGTACCTCCTCTCCGATACTGAAATCCAGTCCCCGAATTCTCCAGTAAAGTACTGAGTGGATTCAGGGACAGGCAAAACCAAAGTGGACTCAAACAATCGCCCTGGAATATTCCTCTCTTTATCTCTATCCGGTCAGCGGTATCCGTCAATCGCTCGCCCTGGATAGTCAGGATCGTCGTCCACTGCCTCATGCATGCCTCCAAGAACACTCGAACTGTACCGTCGATCTTGTACAGCTCGAGTATCCTCCGGAGCCATGAATGGGGCACGGAATCGAACGCCTTTTTATAATCTATCCAGGCGGCGGAGAAATTCCGACGGTTCCGCTTGACCACGTGCCCAGCGACAGCATCAATGAGGAGCAGCTCCTTCGATCCGCGGCTACCGCCCCTGCATCCGTTCTGAGCGCTAGATAGGATCTTATTCTCGTACACATGACGAGAGATCTTAGCGCTCAGAACGGATGTTAACGTCTTATATATTGTCGTAAGACAAGTGATGGGGCGATATTTAGATGGATCCGCGGTATCGTCCGTCTTAGGAGCTAAATGAGTGATCCCGGTTGTAAGGAAGTTCGGGAGCGCCCTGTTTTCGAGGGCACTCTGGAATTGCACGGCTAAGGTCGCATGGCTGGCCGAGAACGCCTTTAACCAGTAGTGCTGCAATCCGTCGATCCCCGGACTTTTCCAGTTCGGAGCCCGACGGATCGCGGCAACCACGTCTTCCTCCGTAATGGC